TAAAGCTTAAAAATTTTTATTGCTTAGTATCAATTGTGAGTTGAAGCGTATTTTTAAAAAATTTTTATAAATCTTAAAAATTATTTCGGCAAAATCTCTTTATTTTTAAACCATAGATTAAAAAGCATGATGACTAGCCAAGAAACCTAGTATAATACATGACTTTAAATTAATAATTATACCATATACAATGGCATGGGCTATCCTGGTAGCTAACTATCATAAAAGTCATAAGAAACGACTTGAAATTTTAATCATGATAGAAGTATACATTCAATTAAAAGTATTAAAAAAAATGTCCCCAACATTTCTTTTGACTGTAAAAGGCAATGAGACATTGATCTGGTAAATTGTAGTGAAAAGAGATTGTCGTTTTTAAGCTTGCTAAATTCTAATAAAATCAAAATTTTCTAGTGATAAAGAAAATAGTTAAATTGATTTATAGTTTATTTTTTTATTTTATCACATTGTTTAATGCGATCCAGACGGACAAAAAAAAAGTGGGTCCTAAAATTTTTAATTTTTTACCCCCAAAAATGAAATTTAAAAGACTGAGAACAGTAAAAAATTTTTAATAAAAATTTAATCTTCTAAATTCTAGTTTAATAAAAGCCTTTAACAACCATGTTAATGATTAATTTTGTAGTTTTTTACCAAAATAAATCGTACTGTGTAAGGATTTATAAAATTTCTGGTTTTGCATCTATACGGCGCATCATCTCTTCAGAGCAGCCCAGACACCTTCTATAGTATTGGTCCAAATACTTATTTATGCCCTTAAAATACTCAAGATGGTTTATTGTGAAGTGCTTGATACCAAACTCCTTTAAATTGGTGTAGCCTTTCCGATAATTGCTATATTTTATTAAATTTGGTGCTACACTTCTACTTAAATAAAATCTTAAAGTTAATATTGTTCTATCATTAATTTTCAATAATATAATTTCTTTTATTTTTTGCTCTTTTAACAAGTCTGAAAATACATATACCACTACCAGATGGCCTTTATTGTAATTTTTTTACCTATTTTCGACTCATAAATTTCAATTTTGGCTCCTATGTAAATAATATTATTAATAACGTATGGGTCTTAGATAGCTATAATTTAATTATTTTTAAAATTTTAATATTACCAAAAATAATATCCCCTGAAATTGAAACTTTTTTATATAATTGAAAAAGCTTATTACAACATCTAAATTCAAACTTTCTCCCTTTTTTAATAGAAACAAATTCTGTTAAGCTTTTAAACACAGATTCATAAATATTTCTATATTTATTCAAAATAATTTTTCTCATTTCTCTTCAATCTTCAGAATTTCATTTTTTGGGGTAAAAAATAAAAATTTTAGGACCCACTTTTTTGGTCAATACTGGTCCTAAGCTTCCAATCTTTTGTACTTATCCTAGCCCCTTCAAAGTGGTTACTATTTATAACAAAGCAATTATATAAATATTGATATGACGTTCAAAAAATCTGTTAAAATATTAACAGTTTTACATATCATTAATAGCAGCTAAGGAGTAATTTATCTGCATTTGCAGTTGTCGGAATTCGTCTGCAGCCATTTAATACATTATTTATTCTGTGTAATAACTTTAAAGAGTTTATCCAAAACTTATACACACATTTTTGATTATATTTGCTTTGTACAAGCAAATATTGAACGTAACAATATTTTGTAAATTTCTTTTAAATTTAAAAAGTGTTGTTCTTTACAGGCACATGGTTTCAAAATTTTGATCTAAAATAATACAAATATAGAATTTATTAATAACTAAGCGCCTGTTATATTTTAATTTTTTCGATTTGCAGTGAAAGAATACTCCGTGGAGATACGTAGTTATAAAATCGTTAATGTGTTCTAGATATTCATTTAATGTTCTTAGTTAAAAAATTTTTGTCATTTTTTTTACCCTACCCGCTTAAAAATTCGTAGATATTTTAAAGGTTGTTAGTTGCTTGAATTAAACATAATATATTAAAGTTATTGTAAATATGTTATGCTATCAAGACCAAATTTTCTGTAATTAATTAATTATTATTTATTTTTAAAAACTAGACTTTTGTTTACGTGTTAAATGTTATTAAATTGTCGATAACTTTATAATAAGTATATGACGCCGACATATTTGTATAATATCGAACTCGGTTTCTGATAAAATTCTAATAAATTTTATATTGGTGACCTTTTTGGTTCATGTAAGGTTGTATAGATATTTAAAACTAAACTGTGTAAATTTTATTTTTGCTTATCCACATTCACTACATTGTTTCGGGTAAAAAATCAGATTTATTATTGGTATGAGTCCAAAAATCTAAGATGTCTTATAGTATTCCTCTGGCAGACTTTTTGTACTAAAATAAAAGTTAGTCATGTGTTTTGTACTTGCGTGGATTTTATGCGTTTTCGTCTTGCGCTTGTTGCGGGGTAGAGCTTTTTGAAATATTATCATTTTATTACTTAAATTTTTTTTTAGTTTTAGCGTCTTTAAATACACCAGTTATATATTTTTAAATCAAGAAACATGATAAATATTATGCCTCTCTTCATTAAAATGCCAATTTAATTTAAATTATTATTTCATGTAGAAATATTACACCGCTCTGTTCAAAATATAACAAAAAATGGATTTTGCATTGTGGATAAATATTAATACCGCAGAATTTATTTTTTAACCTGCGAATCTTTTTAACCATAAATTAT